AAATAGAGTCTTTATACATTATAATTTTTAATATTAAAATCTGTATTATATAAAATATCAACATTTTGAAAATATTTTAATTAATAAAAATATATACATGATTAAATAAAGGAATGTAAAATATATAATAAAATACCCTAAAATTTTGTTATATGAAAATATAAAACAATTTTAACAAATCCAAAAATATAAGCAATTAAATGTTCAAAAAAAATGAGAAGTTTGGCGGGCGAAGCCCCCCCCCCCAAAAAAAAAATTTTTAAACCCCCCTCACCTATGATACAATCCTGGCTACGCCACTGTGTAGTCTTATATATTTTTAGCCATAAACGGTAATGTTATATTGTAGGAATTAATAAATTAAAATATTATATATTTGGTTATTAAATGGTAATATGTTTAAATTTTATGTAACACGCATTCATAAATTAATTCATTCTGTTATATTTAACTTATTCAAATTATACCAATTAAACTTTTATTTTTAGTTTTGCTTTTCGTTTTATAACTTAACCTTTTGATTTTATATTCTAATATTAGTTTATAAAAAATATATAAATATAAGATTAGAAAAGTAATAAAGTGAACAATTTTTATTTTAGAATCAAGTGTTCCAAGAGCTCTTCTTCATGGTGCTCCGGCTCTGGTGGACTCTTCTTCATGGTGCCACGAGTCCGGGTGGACTTGAATGTGATGACCAATACCTAACCTAATGTGATGACCAATACCTAACCTAATGTGATGACCAATACCCTAATGTGATGACCAATATCTAATCTAATGTGATGACCAATACCTAACCTAATGTGATGACCAATATCTAACCTAATGTGATTACCAATATCTAACCCAATGTGATGACCAATATTTAACTACATGATGACCAAGAACTAATATGGTAGTTGGACGATAGGCTATGAATTCTATATAGTGAACCAAGGATGATTTACAAATAATTCTAAATCCACGTAAGAATAAAAGTCATTATAAATTGAAATTCTATGCCGAGATAAAGTCATAACTTATGGTATAAATTAACTTAATAAAATAACTTAAATATAAATCAATCATAATGGGCATATTTGAATACATAAAAAGCCTTATGACCAATTGTGGAACTGAATTACCTAAAGATGAATTCTTAGGTATAATTAAAAAATATTACAAAGATAAACCATTAAAAATCCTAAACAAAAAAATAAAACTATAATTTTAAGTCTATATTAAAATATAATAGAAACATATGAATTAAAAGATTTAAAAGATATAATCATATGATTGAATTTAAAGAAATATTTGTGATTAAATAAGTTAATAGTACAAATATTAAAGAAAATTATAAAATTAAAATAACTCTTATAAGTAAAATTTAATGTGATAAAAAGTTTTTGAAATTTAAAGCTTTAAAGACAAATAAAAGTATTATAAAGAGAAGTTATGTAAAAACTAAACATCTTCATTTTAGAAAAATATTTAAAGATGTGATGAAGAGATATCATTTTCTAAAAATTATCTTATTAAGAATTATTATTTTTAAACATTTTTTTTAAAAGGGTTTGAAATTTAAACTTTTTTTAAAAAAGGGAAATGTGCATAATATTTTATTTGCATATTTTAACCTCAGGATCTAAAATATTAATATATAAATAAAAATAAATTAAACACTAAAGCGCGAGACACTAAAATGCAAAAAATAAATTAAACACTAAAACGCCAAAAATGAAAACGCTAAAAGTATTATATAACAATCTATATATTTATCATTCTTCAATTATTCTTAAATCCAACTTGATGAATTATTATTTCTAATTATTCGTGACTGACTGATGATAATAACAATTTTGAAAATTGATAATAATAACGACTGAGTACTACAAGCAAGCTACATGACAAAATCACGATTTACGAGGACAACTTACGATAAGGATATCAAGCTTACGATTTAAACAAACCAACGTACAAACACAATTAACGATTTGGACAAGCCAACGATTAAGATGACTTATGCAACAACTTGACAACCAAAACGATAAACCATTTGGACGACAAGCTCTCTATGACTACTTAGATGAACTTATGAGAAGGCTTTTTAGAAGAGGGAGAATGTTGTATTATAGGAATTAATAAATTAAAATATTATATATTTGGTTATTAAATAGTAATATGTTTAAATTTTATGTAACGCGCATTTATTAAATTAATTCTGATATATTTAATATTCAAATTATACAAATTATACTTTTATTTTTAGTTTTGCTTTTCGTTTTATAACTTAACCTTTTGATTTTATATTCTAATATTAGTTTGTAAAAAATATATAAATACAAGATTAAAAAAGTAATAAAGTGAACAATTTTTATTTAGAATTAAGTGTTCCAAGCGCTCTTCTTCAGGGAAGAAGGCTAAAATGGGGGGGGGGGGCAAGATGAAATATTTTCCCTTTTGGTAAATTAGTCTGTTCACTTAAATATCATTTTAATTAAGTTAATAAAAACTGGTAAATATCATTTTAACCTGAAAAAATATAAATACAAACTTCCCCTCACCATAAATCTACAAAATATCACTATAAACAATAATTTGAAGGAAAATTAGTAAAAGTTAAGGACTTTAAACAAATACAAAATTTTTATTAAAAAATGAAAACCCCTACATTATTTTTATAAAAATATAACATTGCCAAATGCCATAAATTAATGTAGCTAAAGAGCTTCAATAAAATTTATACAGATATAATCGAAATAACTGTACACCCCTCCCCCCTTGGCAAAATCTAGGCTACTCTTATATATATTATGTATATGTATCATATTGTAACATGTTAAAATTTTCCTTAATATACTTAAACATAAATATAGTAAGGTGAAATATTTACTAATAGACTTATGCTAAAATTTATTTTTTAAATTCTGCCTAATCATCGTCTTTAATATATATTTGCAAAATTATATTAATTCTATCTTAGATGAATATTATATATCATCAATTTACGTTATATACTTTATAAGCCATATTGTGACAATTATAATTAAATACCAGCTTTGAATAGCAAATGTCATCACAAAATTTTAAATAAGAGTATGCCGAAATATATAAGTTACGAATTTTAAATGTAATAATTTGTCGTTGTTATTTCTTTCTTCCATGTCATAGTTAAAATGCATATCAACACCTCGAAAATTTTAAAATTGAAACTATAATATTTTCCGATTTCTATTATGTCTTATATTTTTATTATATTTTTTTCAAATTCTTTTTCTTTTTACATCATAATAAATTTTCTTCTGAAAAATCGATAATCAAAAATAATATTTATAATTCCGAGAAAAAATAAATTCCATGAAAAATATTGATAAATTTCAAAAATCGATAATCAAAAATAATATTGATAATTCCGAGAAAAAAAAAATAAAAAAAAAAAAATGATGAACATAACATCTCTCCTCTTAGAGAATGTCTGTTCTCTTCCGCATTTGATCTTGGTGTCTTCTCCATCAGCCCTTGGAGGTATCCACAACGTATATGCACCTCCCAGCACGAGCCACTATTGTTCCTTGCAGATAGTGTCCGTGAAGCAAAACCTATGGGATTCTCGGATCCGTCTTTCTCGATATGAGACAATACGGCTCCTACGCCTTTCATAGACGCATCCGTAGTGAGTTGGATATCTTTACCTGGATCAAAATGAACGATTATTGGAGGATTAGTCAAACATCTCTTTAAGATTTCAACACTGGATCCGCATTCTTCCGTCCATTGGAAATTGTTGCCTTTCTTTAATAAGTCATAAAGGGGTGCCGCGATTGTTGAAATTTTTTTTATAAATCGATGATAGTAATTCATAAGTCCTAATAGTGACTGCAATTCGTTGACTTACTCAGGAATTGGAGCATATTTTATCGCTTCTAGTTTTTCGTCTGAGGGCATAAGACCTTTGCTGGATATGACATGTCCTAGGTATTTTACTTTTTCTTTAAGGAATTTGCTCTTTTCGAAATTCGCTTTGAGACCGAACTCCGACATTCGTTGGAATTCTAGATTTTTTAGATGCTCTTCATCCGAAGAACCGGTAATTATTAGATCGTCAATGTACTATGCTACCCCCGTCATTTTCCCGAAAATTAGATCCATGGTCCTTTGAAATATTGCTGACGCCGGGGTTATTCCGAATGGCATTCTTTTAAATTGGAATAAATTTTTGTGGGTGTTAATAGCTAAATACTTCCTCTAATCAGAATCTATTACTATTTGATGGTAAGCATTTGAAAAATCAATGGTTGAAAACTTTTCCCCTTTTCTTAATTTGTTGAATATTTCTTGTATTCTGGGGATAGGGTATATGTCCGGTGTCATCCATGGATTTATAGTTATTTTGTAATCTATGCACAACCTAATATTCCCATTGGGCTTCACTATCGGGACCAGAGGACTGGCCCATTCTGAGAATTTTATGGGTTCTATTATGTCATCATTAATCCATTTAATTAATTCCTCATCCACCTTTTCTTCTAAGGCATACGCGATTTTCCTGGGGGCGCAGAATTTTGGGATCGCGTCGTCTTTTATACTCAAATGGACTTCCATATTGTTCAATTTCCCTAATTTTTTATCGAATATTGTTACGTACTTCTCCGTTAGGGCTTTTAATTCTTGTTCCACATAATATGTTTTGTTATTATTATCGTATGTGTTTTCTGTTCCTGCTAATATTGATTCTTTCCATACCAATTCTCTGAATTCCTTTATCCAGTTTATACCTACCAATGAGGGTCCATCAGCTTTCACTATTATTAAGGGTAGATATTTTATGGTTTCTTTTATTTGAACTTTTACGTCCACGCTGCCTATGATGGCGATTTCGTTACCTTCGTACGTCTTTAATTTTGTGTCCGAATCATGAATTGTTTTATTGGAGTTGATTTTATTCCATGTCTTTAATGAAATGATTGATACTGATGCTCCTATATCTAGGATCATGTTTGTTTTCTTACCTTCTATATTTAAATTGATTTTGAATTTTTCTTTACAAGATTTGATATCCATCGAGTATATTTACATATATCTTCCTCTTTGTCTCTTTGATCGCAATATTTAATCAGATGTTTATCGCTACCGCATTTGAAGCAAGTTTTTTTTGTCTGACTGTAATATTGATTGTCGTTGTATTTAAAGTTATTATTGTTGGTGTTGTAATTTCCCCTTGTCTTATCGTAAGAATATTGATACTTATTTTTATGATAATAATTATTGTTGTCGTACCAATTTTTATGTCGGTAGTTATCATTGTTATTATATTTGTTGTCATTATTATTATATTTGTTATCATTATTATAATATTTGTTATCATTATCATATTTGTACCGCGGATTAACGTTATTATATCTTCCATAATTCGAGTTGTCATAATTATTATATCTAGTAAATCTGTTATCGAATCTCGTTTGGTGGGGATAATAATTGTCACTGTAGCGTTCCTGAGCTCTGTTATTATTATTATTATTACTATTATACCTTTTATTGTCTTGTATATAGTTTATTTCCTTATTTTCTATTTTGTCTTCCTCTTGTTCCTTTCCGGCTTGACAATAAAATATACCTTTTGTTTTTTCCTTTTCGTCTATCAAGTCCATGGTTCGAAGGAGTTTTTCAATTTCCTCTATACCCATATCTTCTTCGAGTAATAACTTTGTCGTGATATCTTTGCTTTCTAAACCATTAATTATTTGCATTTTTAAGTTCTCTTCATATTTTTCTTTGAAGTTGCATTTAAGTGCCAAAGATTTTAGTGAATTTAGAAATTCTAAATTGGTTTCCCCGTCTCTTTGGGTACGTTTATAAAATTGAAAACTTTCCAATGGTGCAATTTTTTTATCGTTGTCTATTAGCGAATCTAGCATATCGTCGTATTTTATTTTATTAATTGATTTCGGAGCGAATTTTAAAATAACCTTATTTAAGTCATAGGTTGATAGTGCCGATATCAAAGCTGCTTTCTTTTTCTCGTTGTCCGATATATCATTTAGTGTAAAGTTGGCTTCTAGTTTTATCGAAAAGTCGTAAATGAGTCGTTGTTTTCTTTAACAGGAATTGCTGCTGGCATTTTAGACAATTTTATATCAAATTTAAATTTTCTCTTTTTTTTTTTTATATATATATTTCCGCGCGGGTTCTTCCGTATACATAGTCGCCATTATAATATATTCCTATTTCTATTATGTCTTATATTTTTATTATATTTTTATTATATTTTTATTATATTTTTATTATATTTTTATTATATTTTTATTATATTTTTATTATATTTTTATTATATTTTTTTCAAATTCTTTTTCTTTTTACATCATAATAAATTTTCATCTGAAAAAAAAATAATCAAAAATAATATTTATAATTCCGAGAAAAAATAAATTCCATGAAAAATATTGATAAATTTCAAAAATCGATAATCAAAAATAATATTGATAATTCCGAGAAAAAAAAATAAATAAATAAAAAAAAATGATGAACATAACAGAAACCTCCTATTTTAGGCTAAAATTTGTATGCAAAGGTATAGAGATGAACATATATTAAAAAATCATATTAGATGTCTTAAAATCTCAAATTATTAAGGCCCGGCCTGGTTGGTATTTCGTTTTCTGCAGGTCCCGACCATATTCATACCTGGCTCAGATGTTTTAATCTTTTACTGTTGGTCAACCTGGCCCATTTTTTAAAAAAGTAAAAAAATTTTACCGAACTGGTATATTATAATTGAAAATATTTGTATCATTCATATTTAAAAAAAACCTAATCCTTAAAAATATTATTTTAACAAAATCAGGTAAAAAAAAAGTATTAAAAAATTAAATTACATGGTAATTAAATAAAAAGCAGATTATAAATTATATTATGTCAAATTTTTGGATTGAGTTAATTTTTCTATGATTCATCAATACTTGGTATCAAATCCCTATGAGTTTACCTGAATCACCAGTATTGCCATTATTTAGTGCATCCGATAATAGAGAGAATTGATATTTTTCCTTCAAATTCTCGAAAATGTGTTTCCACAGGACCTAGGATATTTAACAGGGTTGCCAGAACCAAAGCGACCTATAACATGCTACATCTCGGAATATAATTAATCTTAAACCTTTTATTGTAAATATATTTTAAATAAATTATATAGGGTTGATAAATATTATGATTTAGTTTTTGAAAAATTATATAACAATCGATTTTTTTTGATTTAAATTGCAATTCAAATAATAAAATTTCCAAAATAAATGTAAATTTATTTGCAATTTAGAAATTTTAATTTAACCTATTTTAATATAACATTAAATGTAGAAATTCATAGTTTAGTAATTTTAATTTAACATTTAATTCGCAATTTAGTCATTTAAATTTAACATTAATACCCGCAATTCTCAGTTTAGTAATTTTAATTTAACATTAAATATGGCAATTCGTCCTATTTAAATTTAACATTAATTACCGCAATTGGTAGTTTAGTCATTTGAATTTAATTAATATTATATACGGCAATTCGTAGTTTAGTCATTTTAACTTAACATTATATACTGTAATTGGCAGTTTAGTCATACGTTAAGGGGCCTCCTCCCAGTAAGTGAAATTCTTTTCCATATTATACTAAAAAGTGGCGTCAAGTCACAGGTCTGCAAACATTAACCCCAATGACATTAATACTATAGACTGCCGATCGTAATGCTAAAATCAAATTTGAAATGGCAAAAATTGAAGTGACTGGTGGCCATTTTGTGTTTGTATCTTTTACGAAAGAAGCATATGATAATTTCATAAATTTCAGGTATATTTTTATTATGTTTATATTTATAATATATAATATATATATATTCTAATTAAACACCAATTTATTATTTACCTTATATATTATAGTATATATGAATCAAATAAAGGTCACTACTGAATATTTTACTTGAAATATTTTCGCTCTTTATTAACATTTGCAATTTATTATTTAATAATGAATATCTTTTATAAGAATTCAATTTAATATTTTTTAATTACTAAAAGATTTAAAATGGTAGTATATTGCTGAGGAAGCAAAATTTCCTTTCATAAGTATGATATCTCAAATTAATTATTCTATTGTAAAAATTATTTATGGCAGATTTCCTATGAAAGATAAAATATTATTACAAAAGTGGACCCATGCTGTGAAGAGAGAGAACTTCAATGTAACAAAATATAGTAAATTATGTTCAAAGCATTTTACACCAGATTCATTTATTCCATCTGTTACAAATCATGTTCAATTAAGAGAGGGTGCAATACCATCAATTTTTAATTTTCCAAAGCATCTTCTAAAAGTAACAAAATAATGAATAATAAATTATAACATGCAGGTTTCCTAGAAGCCAGATTAATTCAAAAATACATGAATATTTTTTTTTATAGAAATCAATTCTAGATTTCTTTTGTATTTTTATAATTTATGTCTTATGTCTTTTATGTTTTATTTTTGCTTATAATTATGTTATTCCTTAATAAATATAAACTATCCATTTCTAAATATATTTCTTTATTTAAATTTAATTCACTAAAGTATAAAAATCAATAATGTAAATATATACATGAAAAATACAAATAATATATATTATGTTATATTTACATCAAATAAAATAATTGTATTATTATAATTAATATGTATCGCGAAAAGAAAATATTAATCTTATAAATCAATAATAAATACAAATAATATATATATGTTATATTTATGTCTAATAAAATTAATTTATTATAACCAATAAAGTCATTAGAAATTTTCAGATAATTTGTTCTTCACCTATAAATATTTAAGTTAAATAACATATTTTTATATTACTTGGTTTATTGCCCTTGAAAAAGTACAGCCTTGTTTAGTTTTTGCCTGATATTTAATTGTAATTTTTGATTTACTTTATTACCAAAATGATGCATTCTTATGTGCAGGTATCTGAAAATAAATTTTTATTAAAATCAAGTAAATATTATATATACCTTTTTATTATAAGTCATATTATAATTTGATAATGACTTAACCCTGCTTCTTGATCAAACATATGATCTTGCAGGTCACTAAGGATATTTGTGCCTAATATTTTTGACAATATTAGACATTCTATTATTTTAACAGCATGTCTTTTGGTTATTTCATCTACTTTTTCAAAAGCCCTGAATGAGCTCTCTGTTATTTTGCATAAATTTGACACGCTTTGGGATGGTATTATCAATCCACCATAATTCTTAATTTTTATTAATGTATAATTATTGTCGTTTGCGGAATTATCAATTAATTAGAATATATATATATTATAAATATAAACATAAAAAAAATATACCTGAAATTTATGAAATTATCATATGGTTCTTTCGTAAAAGATACAAACACAAAATGGCCACCAGTCACTTCAATTTTTGCCACTTCAAATATATTAATCGGCAGTCTATAGTATTAATGTCATTGATTAACCCCAAATAAACGTGCGGTTAATCTTAAAAATATTTCATTCGCTAAATATTGTATTTTTTTTCACCTTTTTATATTTCTATTTATGCATTATATTATAATGATAACTTTTTAAATATAATTATAAAATGCATTCTAAAAAATATTTGGCAATAACTTTTTAAATAGTTATTATAATTAATATAATGTATTTTATATGAAATAGTTCAATATAAATTATTAAGAAAATGAATAAAAAAAATTTAAAAAGAAATTTGCCTCAAATTCTTGGAAAAACAAAACTTCGTCTTTTTTACCCGCTTTAGCCCCCCCCCCCCCCAACCATAATTTTTTAAATAATAGCAGGCCTCCAATAGAAAAAAGATTGAGAGATATAATCGAAATAGGAGAGACACAGTTTGGCTTTATGCCTGGAAGATCAACAACCGATGCTATCCATGCAATTAGGCAAATGAGTGAAAAATACAGGAAAAAGAACAAAAAGCTACACATGGTCTTTCTCGATCTAGAAAAGGCCTTCGATAGAATCCCAACAAAACTTATCTGGTGGGCGCTACGCCACAAAAAAGTTCCCGAAAAATATATAAGAATAATACAGGATATGTATATGGGACATACAACAATGGTCCGTAGCACAACAGGTACTTCAGCAGGTTTCACAATAGCCGAAGGAGTTCATCAAGGGTCGGCTCTCAGCCCACTTCTCTTCATTACAGTAATAGATGTATTAGCACGGTCTATACCTCAAACAGTCCCGTGGAATATGATATTTGCAGATGATATTGTGATACTTGCCGAATCCAAGGATGAAATGAAAGAAAGGTTAGTGAATTGGATAAATATCCTAGAAACGCACGGATTAAAAGTAAATAGAGAAAAGACGGAGTATATGGTGATAGGAGGAGATGAAACGGAGAGTATTGATATAAATGATTGGCAGATATCCGCAATTGAAAGCTGCAAATATTTGGGCTCCACTATACAAACAAACGGCACAATAGAAAAAGAGATAAAGAGTAAGATTAATCAAGGGTGGTTAAAGTGGAGATCTTTATCTGGAGTGCTATTTGACAAAAGAATCCCACACAAATTAAAGGGAAAAATTTACAGTTCCATAGTACAACCAACTATTCTATATAGTTCGGAAACATGGCCAACCAAAGAATCAGACGAGGGAAGTCTACAAACTATGAAGATGAGAATGCTGAGGATGATTGCTGGGGTAACAAGAAAGGATAAGGTGCGCAGTACAAGAATACTAAATAGTTTAAAGGTAGTGCCCATTCAGACTAAGTTAATGGTAAACAGACTTAGGTGGTATGGGCACACAATGAGAAGGCCTATGAACTACATAGGAAATAAAGTTGAAAGTTTGGAAGTGATGGGCAAACGTAAAAGAGGAAGGCCAAAACTTCAATGGGGCCATAAAGTTAGAGCCAATATAAAGAAGTATAAAATAGATAAAAGAGATTGTATGAATAACATAAAGTGGAGAAAGAGGTTGAAGGAGCTTACCACCAGAAAAGGTGAAAGCTAAAAGAGAAAAAAAAAAGGCAGGCCTCCGCCTTCAATTTTAGAGCGACAACACTTATAATATCTTTATATCATATCTGATAACCTTGATTGACTTAACTATTAGAGGCACTAATAAGATCTAATCCAATGTTTCATGACTATAGTATAAATGAAAAAATTATTAGTGGCAAAGTTTTAGCCAATCTTAAGATTAAAATGAAAATGAATGCATTTATTCTAAAAAATTTATCAATGCTTAGTGTTTAATTGTATAGTCATGTAGCAATTATATGTATAATTGCTAATATATATAGATAATATTGATATAATGGAAATAATGGAAATATATGTATGCATGGTATTGTGAATTAGTATATTCGTTAATTAAATATGTTTTATAATGATTATATATGTGTATATAATATCGGGTGTTAATGTTTAATTGACTATTATTATTAATAGAATTTAGAAATTTCTATTATATTCTTATATCCGATTCGTATTATTGACTGTTGTGTAATTATAGATAAATGACCAGAATAAATGAGTTATGAATTATCTTATCGATATGTGAAATTATTCCATTTATTATAAATTGCATATTATCTAAATCCCCTTAGTAGATATTATACAATATAAATTTATAAGGAAAAAATTATAATTTATCATGCCAGTATACTATTTTGATTTGCGTTAACATTTAATACATTACTTCTTAATTCATCAGCCAATTTTGACAACCAAAAAAGTTACCCACATTAGAAGCTAAATAAAAACAATGATATTATCTCTAGTGTAGTCAAAAAGCCCTAATTGGGTTGATTTTTAATAACGGTCTAATTAAGATTTCAGTCAAAATAATATTATTTGAGCCTCGAGATTTTGCTCACAAATCGGCTTTTTAACAAAACTAATCATTCTTATAGGCTTTTTTACACATATGTTTTTCTGATAATAAATATAAATTGTTTAATAATTATAAAATATTTGATTCAAATGATTGTAAAATAAAGGTTTATTATTAATCATTTTAATAAATTGGTTCTAAAAATATTAAAGAAATATATAATCTGTATAAGGTGGGTCTGAGAAGCTAATTTACTCAGATACCCATTTTTGCTCTCCAAATTTTTAGCAGAATAAGGTTTGTTTTTTAGACATCGTTTTTGTGATATTTAATTATTAATTTATATTTATAATTTCTAAGCTAAATTTGTTTATTATAAATAAATTTGCAGATTTATCATAATTTTTTTAAAAATATTTTTGTAAATTTAAAACATCTTGAAAATTACGTTTAGAAAATCTTATTTGGTGTTTGTAATTGATCAATAATTTATTAACATTGTTTGCAACCTAATATTAAAATGGCCTCTAATGAAGATAGCCTGCCTGGATTTCCTAAAAAATCAAATAAACAAATTATAAAAACAATGGAAAATATTGTTGTTAATTATGTCCCGATGATAGGTGCAGCTGGTTATTTTGCATTTTTATCAAACGTTATGAATCCGAACTTATTGAATCAGTATTATTACATTATATTAACTATTTTAATTCTATTAATAGTGTCTCACCCGAGTACAAATTAGCCCTAGCCAATTCGTTATTATTTACTTCAAATATGGGAATAGGTTTATATCTCTACAACAGTAAACATTTAGCCCTTTGTCAAAAACCTGCAGAGAGAATTGCTTATACATTGTTGGGAACAGTCATGTTCAATTTCGGTACTATATTTAATTAATATAAAAATTAATTTTTGTTAGGCTCAATTTTATTATGTGCTACATCTAGAGTAGTAATGCCTGAAGAACCATATACCCGTTTTATTGCTGGAGCTATTCTTGGAGCAGGATTTTTATATTTTGGTCGCAAATATGTTTTATATCTTGATAATAGCAAAGATTTTTAAATGACATTGCTGTAGCCTAGTTACATTAATAATTTAATTTATATTGATAAAAATATGATAGATACATTTTTGTCTGTTTTGACATTTGATTTGAAATTGGAAATAGAAATTACATTAATTTTATATATTGCTTATGAATAAAATTAAAGTTTAAAATGTATCCATTTAATAATTTATTTCATTTAATATTCTATTCATTAAATTAAAATTCTACATCCTATTATATCAAACCGTATTACAGGGTCTAATATGGATTTTTTCACAGATTTAGTATCTTTTTTCTGTAAGAGTATCTTGTATAGTTTGGGATCAATATTTGATGAGAATAAACTTATATTTTTTGGCCACCAATCAATTACATGGATTCTTATAGCTTCTGCAGTTATGGGGTTTGTTAACCAGTTATATCTTGGTTTCTCAATATCCAATACTTTTATATCTTCATCTGAGTTAAAATTTTCATTTTTATCTGTACTTTTAAATATCTTAATATAACAAAGATAAAATTAGATATAAGGAAATTTAAAATAAAGGTCTGCAATGGATGCAATCTAAATATCTACCCAGCATTACTAAAAAAATTTAACCCATTTGTCTGGCTATGTGTTTTTTAAATTCATCTGCCTGCTTGCCATTTTTTAAAAACATTTTTTTTATGCCCGATGTTTAAGAAGCAATTTTATCCACTAGCTTGGCTCCATTTTATTTTAATGTATTTTTTTATTTAACTTTTAAATATGAAATAAAAAATGTTTTTTAATAAATGGAAGTTGCTCATTTTGCCTGCCCATTGTTTTAAAAATATTTTAAAACCTACCAGCTCACTAGCCCAATGTTAAAATCTTTTAGTCCACCCATTGCAGACCTTTTATCTAATACTTGAATGTCTTATCTTTTTCTAATAAAATTTATATTTTTGTCATAATTTTATAGCATAATTTACATCTATTGGCACTAGATTGTATATATAAAAGTTAGAATATTTAATTAGTTCTTTTAAAATATATTATTTATAGATTCTTAGTTTTGATATAACTTACATAAATTTTTTAATTTATATATTTATGGCTAATTTTTTTTTTAAAATCCAACAAAATATTATAATTTACTATTTCTTTATCATCTTCATTCAATATATTGAACCATTGATTTGAACCAGTTCTATAAGTTACCCTATATTCTGTAACTAATCTTTTGCAGATTATACAATGACCTTATATTTGATTGAAAAAAATTGAATTATTCATAAATATAAATTTATTTCAAATAATAAGTATTAGAAGCAAATTTTTTTGGCCTAAGCCTACCCTTTTGACTTTCTAATAAGTTATTTTAGATCTAAACCCAGCTCATTTGGTGTGTGGCTCAATTTATAAAAGGGTGCTTATAGGGAAAAAATCTCAAACTTAAAATATTTATTTTATTTTCTGTTTTGTATTTTTTAAAATTCTTTTATAATTCTGTTAGTAAATCTTGCAAGAAATAAGAAGGAAACATAATAATATTTGTAACACTATGAGCTGGTCACATATATTGTTTATGTTACCCTGAGCTAGGCTAGCCTATAGGACTATATATAATATATTAAGGTTGCTAAACATATTTAACCAAGACTTGTTATTTTGAATTTAAATATACAAATTATAATTAGCCTTAGCCCTTTAAAGTCCTGTGAGCTAAATTAACATCATCATATTGCATGTTATTTTTTAATGTTCAAAACCACTCAATGATTTAATTTAACATTTTAAAATAAATATAGAATATTTTCAATCGTATTATTTCAATAATAAAAAAATATATGTTTTTATTTTATTATCACATAACTTTTGGCTGTATTTCCATTTTGATTTTACCTATTATTTAAATACTCTAATTTAAATTCTGAAAACTATATAATTTATAAAGAAGACAAAATATTCAAGTATGTCATCATGGAAATATAATTATAAAATTATGATCCCAAATTAATTTATTGGGAATATATATTTTATTTTTATAGATGTCAAATAAAATAATTTTATATTTCATAAACAGATATTAATGATAGCAAGGATAATTTTAAGCATCTTATTGACAATATGGATATAGATTTGCCCACAACTGCAATCCACACCAATTGCCTAAAAGGTTGCAATTTGAAAAGCGATCACAATCTCAAGAAAAAGGGGAGAGATAGTTTCAACTACAAAACTGACATTAATAATAATATAATTGACAAATGGTTTGACAACAAATTTGTTCATGTTATATTATCCTTCAATGGTATAAACCCAATAGAAGATGTGGGGTGATGGTTCATGACAGGAAAAAAAATTTATTCAGATCTCTAGGCCTTGTATTTTAAAAAATATAATGAAGGAATGGGAGAGATTTACATGATATGCTAGTGAAATGCTACAGATTAGATATCAAAGGTATAAGGATCCATCTATGAATAATATTGCATTTGATAGATATGCATTGTGAATGCATATTATTCTATCAAAGACAAAAAAATGAAATCTTTTATAAAACATTTAAATCTCAAATACTAGTAAAAGTAAAATAGGGAGACATCAAATAAAACTCTTAAAATACAAAAAGGATCTAGGTTACCTCAAATAATATCAGACTTTAGATACATTAATATAGGGCATTTTCCAGAAGTTTCCAACACTCGAAAAAGGTGTAAACTATGTGTTACCCCATATTCAAGGACTAAGTGTGAAAAATGTGAAATTTATTTATGCTTTAAGCATGATAGAAATTGTTTTAAAACATTTCATAATAAATAAATAATTTTTTTATACATTGAGCTCAATGATGTCAAATTGTAACATGATTTTTTTTTACCTGTATACTATGAAATAAAAGTCGATAGAAAAATTTTACATCTTTGGTGTATATAAATGAAGATTTTTTATAAAAAAATTTTTTTTATTTTAAAAAATTGAGCTTTAAAGGGTTAATTATATTAAGGATGATGTTAGATCCTTATTCATTTCAAATAAAAAATAATTCATACAAAAGAATTTGATATTGTTGGATGTTCATCCATATCAACTGATCTGATTTTTGTATAGGAAAATGTTCAAATATATTATACGTCTTATTCAAAAATAAGTGTTCCTAAGGCCATGACATGGAATTTTTCTACTAGATATGACTGGGAAATGCTATTCAGGAGACACCAAGATCTGATAAAATAATATACAATCAAATCTGTCTAATTTGGATGCTTAATAATCTGGGAAAATCCTAATTTTACCAAAATTAAGTCCTAATCAATATCCTACTAACGATTACTGTAAAATGCCTTGGTAAATTGGGCAACTGTTTACTTTGAAAAGTGAGAAGATTTCTAATTTATTGTCCATTAGTAAGACCTTTATAAAGTGGACATTTGTTGATAAACTCCATGCAAACAGTGTCTACATGACAGGATTTTCACTGGATGCAAACCCCCTTCAAAAACCTTTGCCTACCTTCCTAAAAAATCACCTTCTGTGGCAGTGTCTCTTTCTCATTATTTTCACCTATTTATTTATTGATACTCTTTTCAAAGAATTTATAAAGGATAACTTAAATTTATCTATCTCTACTAACAACTGTCTATATTTTGTGAATATAAAGAATTTATTTTTTAGATAATAAATTCAATTAAAACCTCTATTATTTACAAAGAATTAATTATTATGGCATTATAAGTTTGCTAAAATATCTAAACCTTTTAAATTACATTTAACATTTAAAAGGATAGTTTATTTGGAAAACAGTATGTATGATTGTTTGCAATATATAGATTTGGTCGATGAATTGTATTATAATAATACTATAATAAAAGTATAATTTTTACAGCAATAAATTTTGTCTTATTTCATCTCAAAATTTAATAGATAACCCCCAAAAAATTTATCCTACCCCCATTAAAGCAGCTTACCCCCTACCCCCTCAAAAAAATAGGGTGCAAACTGTTCCTATTCCTCCCACTCATGTAGACGCTGCATGCAAATAAAACATTACTAAATTAACACTCAAAAATACCAACTTATTTTATTTGATCCTATTTTATGATAATTTAATACATTCGTAACTCAACAAATAATTATTGATTTTGGTTTAAATAAACTGCTATAATATTATGATTAAGCGATTCTGATATTACATTGTAACCAGGGGCTTGGAACATTCCTAACGATTTTGAGAACAAAAAGTGCCATATTTTAGGAAAAATGGATCAAGAACATTACTTCATAAATATTCTGTAAGTACTAGAACGTGCTTCAGAATTTTATAGATTCTCTACTCAAAACATTTTAAATATTGAAAATGGGAACTAAACATTTTTAATCTTAAAATAACTGAAATGGGAAAATGCTTGTTTCCGATTACAATTGACATATTTTGAATATTTTTGTTCATTATTCCAATAAATCCTTGAACTGCAAAAGAATAATTTTTCCATATAGAAAGCGGAAATAAATTTTATAGAAGAAAAGACCCCATTATGTTTTTTTGAGGTTGGTTATTTTTGATAATTTTAAAAAAAATTATGGGATCCGGGGAATTATTTTTCATGATTCATCTCATTTATCTTGAGTGAAATAGATGTTTAAGATTAGAATGAAAGATGTGGGTAGGAATCTCGCGATAATCATGAAATTCTAGAAATAGGTTTTACAGATACATCAACAAATTTTATAAACTTATTATATTGTATATCGTATGTCAAAAATCGAGATATTTAAAATGATTGAAGTTAACACTATTTGATTTATTTGCACAATTATAAAAATTGTATAAAATTTGAATTTCTTCATTTTTATTTTTTGTCCCAACTATTTACGCCAATAGTAATTTCCACAAACGGGCATTTTTCGCCATTAACCTTTAGTTTTTTTTAAAAATCCAGCTTTTTACAAAAAAAGCTAGAGAATTTTTATATATACGTTAAAAAATTATGAATTGGTTCCTTTTTGGGAACATAATTATGAAATTATATTTTTAATTTTATATTGTTTTAAATATTAAGATAGAAATTTTTAATAATGTATTATAAAAAAAAATTAGGTCTTGTGTTAAATTTTTGTTTTGTTTTATGGGAAATACAACACTGAAGATTAAACACTTAATATTTTTCAAGGA